TGAACTAAGAAGCGGAAACAACCCAAATTCTAAGACAAAGTGGCTCACAATATGAGGTAATTGTATGCAAAGTTCCATTTTGAACAAATGTATACTTTGCGAGTTATCCCCCTGGCCAAAAATGTCAATAATGAGTAATCAAACCCGGAAGTGCCACGCCCAACTCAATTTTTTTTGAATAAGTTAATCAATATTCAAAATGTTACGTTATGTTCCAAATGTCAAGTTCCTACATAATAGAGGTCAAAAGATATAGGTCAACAAAAGTCAACAAAGGTCAAAATCGAAAAATGAAAATATCCAAATGTTAAAACCCGTTCCTTTTTTGAAACTATAAAGCTGAAACAACTGAGCTGTTAATACATACTGGCCAAAAGGATGAGGTAATTGTGTGCAAAGTCTCTTTTTGAACAAACGCATCCTATGCGAGTTATGCCCCAGCCCCAAAATATAAACAATTAGTAATTCAACCCGGATGTGCCACGCCCACATAAGTTTTTTTGTCATAGGTGAATTCATATTCAAAGTGTCTAGTTATATTCCAAATATCAAGGTTCTACATCAAATAGATCATAAGATATACATACACCAAGCTCAAAAAGAGGCAAATATTGTAAAAAAAACCTCAAATTTGAAAATCACGAATTTCAATTTTGCTTTAAAAGAACGATTGTTATATATCTATGTAAAGGGCATGAGAAGCACATTAGGAAACCGAAAAAATTAACCCTTTAGGTTAAGTAGGTCACGTGCTAGAGCAGTCCAAAGTTGCGAATTTGGCTTTTTACGGATAGCTATAAAACCGGAAGTACATGTCGGAGGTCAAAGGTCAAAGTATCAAATGATAGCCAAGGTCAATGACCTTTAACCCTATGAAGGTCAAGGTCATCAAAGGTCAAGGTCACATGGTGTGATCGTTTAAAGCTTTAAAAAATTTCAACCGGAAGTTGCAAAAAAGCAAAAGCGAAATTCAAAATTCGGCTCCCAATGTTTTTTGCGCAATCGATTGCAGAATACATTCACATCAAATTTGAGCATATCAACTTTTACCCTGAGGCCCCATTTTGAGTTTTACAAAAGTGTGTTTTTTCAATATGGCGGCCAAAGTATCACTTCCGGTCTGGATTTTATTTTAAAATCGGCCATAAAATTTTATTTGCCAAAGATCAGCCAAATTTTGTTGACCTACATAAATTACACCGGAAGTTATC